GGTTCAGCTTAAATTGAGGACGACGCAGCGAGCAATGGAAAGAAAATTGGTAGGTGTAACCTTAAGAGACAAGAAGAGAGCAGAATGGATTAGGGAACAAACGGGGGTTAAGGATATCATAGCTGAAATCAAGAAGAAGAAATGGACATGGGCAGGGCATGTAGCGCGTAGACAGGATAACCGCTGGTCATTAAGGGTAACTGACTGGATTCCCAGAGAAGGGAAGCGGGTTAGGGGGAGACAGAAGATTAGGTGGGCAGATGAGATTAAGAAGTTTGCGGGTATAAATTGGCAGCAGCAAGCACAGGACCGGGTTAACTGGCGGAACATGGGAGAGGCCTTTGTCCTGCAGTGGACGTAGTCAGGCTGATGATGATGATGATGATGATGATTATTCGAGCTCGCACACCGTGCTTGTTTATTAAAAATTGTAGTCCAAAGCATGATTTTAGTTCCACTCTTTATGGAATTACAGCCCACATTAGAAAAATGGCCGTCATGGTCTCATTTGTGCCCCCTTGCGATGTTTCTGGATTTACGTCACTGGCGTGAAACTTAGAGACGGTTGAACTGATGTGCTTGAGCCTGGAGTGATCGCACCATCCGCGGACGCCACTAGTGAGTGGTTTGCGGACACTGCTGAACTGATTTGTGCCAGCGTGATCCGGCATGAAGACCGTGAGTTGACAGATTTGCGCCTCTAGCGGACCTCGCTGTTCTTGCGAATGGCGGAGAACGCCCGAATATTTTTTTTTTATTTGGTGTGATGCCCCTGTGTCTTCTTTTGCTCCCCCTCCACCGTGTTCGTACAGCGCACAACCTCGTTCATACGTTGAAGAAACAAGGGAAAGTGCAACGTACTATCCGGGAAAATTTGTAGGTAAAATATCGCGGAATTTCGTTTCACAAGGACATCGCGAACGTGGCCAACGGACAATCGTATGAAACGGGAACGTATCTCCTTCTGGTCCCTTTGTCGTCGTTCTGTTCTCGCGTTATAACTATCGTCGTATCAACGAGATTTTACGTTTAGACATAGTTGACATAGTTGTTTCCACTTCTTTTTTTTTAGTCTCTAATTTAATCCTTTGTCCATGCCTTCGACATATAGCTAGCTAATCATGCAAGCAACTGCGTCACTGCCTTTCTTACTCTCAGCATGGTTATCTCCGTTCAGATGTCAGTCCTCCGAACTGTTGGGTTGCGGTCGGCATTGAATATCGCTTCTTTCGTCACATTGACGCAAGGTAGGCTGGCAACTATAGTGGCCAGCCTCCGAGGAGAATGACGAAGTAGTTCTGTGGGCGCGTGCTTTGGTGTTCGTGCTTTTGGCCTTTGGTTACGAAAGTAAACGCCCAGTTTTTGTGCCTGTGGCTTTGTGACATTTTCTGGTGGAGGTGCTGGGTAACGATCCCAGTACCTCTCGCAAGCCATTCCTTCTTTCATTCACTCCTTCTCATTCCTTCTTTATTTTACTCCCGTTTTGTTCAGCATTTTCCTCCCCACAATTATACGTTAAGGCACGCTGATCAAATGCCCATATACAATGATAGTGCCATAGTTATCGTAGACACGTAACGTAACTTTATTGAGGTCCCGAGAAGTCGATCTCTTCCCCATCTTCGGCCACCGACTCGTGCGAGATCCTGGCGTTACGAGTAGCGTGGTCCTGGTAGTGGCCGGTCGTTCCCTAAAGGGTTTCACGTGCAGCCACCTCCGAAGCTCCTCACGTGCCACCAACGTGCGCGAGACACGCCGCCGTGCACGACCGAAGCGGATGTGCCCGTTTTCACCGCGGGCACGACACACAAGTGCATCGCGCGAACGTCTGGGCGAGCGAACGGCAAGATTGACGCGCACGTTCGGATAGGAAGATATAAACGAGGAGGTGCGGCGGCGCGCGTGCTTATTGAATGAAGCTGCTTGCCCTCCCCCCTCGTCGTGTGCCCAGACGGCGGGTTCCTTGTGATGACCCCCTCTGCCGCGTGGCGGCGCCGGCAGCCGGTCGCTGCGACGACAGCTGCGCCACGGCCGCTCTCCTGGATTCGAGGCATTCGTTCGCGCCGAAAAGGAAATGGCCCGCCGCCGTCTCGTGCGGCGCCGGCGGCAGACGACCAACGGCCGGTCGTTTGCGATGGGAGAGGGAATCGTTGTCTGTCTCGGATCATCCAAGGTCTCCATAAGGCCCCGATCGACGCGGATGACTCCGACGAAGAGAGTCGCTGCGCAGAGCGTGATGTTACCTACAGGACGGCCTTCTTCGTGGACCACGAAAAAGCAGAACTGAAGGCTCCTGCCTGACCCCCGTACTCTGGAAAGCTGCCTCCTGTCGCGTGTTCGACGGACGGCAAGAAGTATAGAAAGGCCGGGTTGAACTTGGTTCTGCATCTGGGGTACCGTAGCCCGGGGGTTCGGTTTAAAGCAGACCGTGCTCAGGATTTTTTGGAAAGGGTAGGAATGTTTCGAATGGCAAACTTTGGCAACTGATGGGTGATGCGAAGGTGTGTACATATTTTAGTACCATGTGCCTGAGTTATTCAAAGCATCACAAAATTCGGGGAGAGGGCCAGGAAGACTTCAGCTCCCCCTTAATTACAGCCCTGGTTTGCGCAAATGAACACCTCCCGTTCCTCACCCACTCCTCGGAATTGACGTATTTTGTATGTGTATGCGTATGTATATGCACACATGCTAGCTCAGGCATGCATAAAAAGCTGCAATTGAGGGTCTGATGAAATCTCATCATGTTGGGATGAAACATTGGTGAGAAAACTGATGGACACAGATAGAGGCAAAAAAATTTCAGTAGACATTGTTTTGACATCATGGTGTCCATCAATGTTTTCACTAATTTTTATAGATAATCGCAGCCCCCCAACGAGAACATGAATGTCCTGGCTATACCTGTATGTGCTAAGATAACTTTATTCTGTCTCGATTCCAAAAGAGGGGAGCGTTTAGCCCGCTGACATTTTTCACAACACACTTTGATAACTTACGCATCTGTATTTGTTATCCTGTTTCACTTTCTTGTACTGACTGATTCTGATGAAAGGAATATCAGCTGTTTTGTTTTTTTCTTAAAGATCAAATAGTAAGCTCACAGATACAAGCGCTGGATGCTCCACATTTATGCGCGTTGCTTTGTCAGCACGGATGATGGATGCCGGTTTTAAGGCCAGACCATCACAATGGCCGCTGTCAGAAGTCTGTGGGATGTGTGATGTATCGCTCGCCTAAATAATCAGCTTCAATGACGAGACACTTGCCCTTAGAAGAGTGACCTATTGCCGTACGACAGGTACAAAATCGCCTATCGCTTTCGTTTAAGCGGTTGAACATAACTGTAGCCTCTAATTATCGTGCAAACAAAAAAATGAGCTATACCCTACTATTCAAAAATACTTCCATGCATGTCGTGAGTTGACGCGATGCTCTTTAGATAGAAACGGTCACCTGTTTCATTCGCCATAGGTTATGGAATTGCAATTATCAAGGATGCTCAGTTGTCACCTTGTTCCTCGCTGTTTTGTCATTGTCGTTTCTTTATCCCCATCGTCAGCTTCCATTACCCGTCAGGGTATAGCAAACAGGACCCACGTCTGGTTGACATCCCTGCCTTTCATTTCCTCCCTTCCTCTTCGTCTCATTGTCGTTGTGTCTTTATGCCTACATGGACGCATCAGTAAATGGCAACGCAAATGGCACTCTGATATTCTTGATTTCTTTCACTGGGGATATTCGGCATGGCGTAATTGGTTTGCCGCTAAGGTGCATGTCAACGAGTAACTATGAAAATCACAAGATCCAACCTTATTTCTTGTTGCTAGTGAATGCACGCCTCTGCAGGCACATCATTGTACTGGATCCTTGTTCAAATTATGTTTGACTGCTTGTATTTGCCTCATGCAGTGGCCCTTAGTCTCCCGTTAATCGAGGGTGGTCCTAACGTTGCTCAAATGCTGACATATACGCATGTCTATGCATGCATTATGCATGACTATAGCCTGTGCATGACGCCTACATGCCCCCAATGAGTTATTGCCTCTGTGGCATTTTGACAACGCAAGCCTCAAGTGCCTCGTCAGACGTCAAAATAGGCCAGCGTCTCGCGGCGGCGCCATCACGAGGGACGCGAAAGTCATTATTTGGTGTCACAATGTCAGGACATCGTGTCATTACATATCGCCAGAATTTGTGACGTCACATGTCACGTGGCATCGTCTCTTGTTGAAAAGTGGGCTGATCGGGGGCAGCAAAATACAATGTTCGGTGCGAAGAGCTCTTGGTGACGGCAGGGCAGGATCAATGCATCGGCTGAGAATATCTAGAAAGTGAGTTTTGCCTCCGAGTCGTTAGGTGAGTACCTAAGGGACCCTTTGACTTTTTGGTCAATGCTTGCATGCTTAAATAGCAACACGTTACCGCATTCGAGCATCACTACCATCAAAGCGTTCCTAAACTTTCGGTCACTATAGAGAATACTGCTTGCACCGTTATTCCACTTTCACAAGAATTATCCTAATCATTCATCATTTGCTACTTGTTGCATTCTGTACCTGCCCACCACGTCTTCCAGTGCCTAGATCGCCTCTTCAATGCTGTACCCACGTACTGACCTCAGAAATACCTCACCACTGTTGTGTGCGATTCGTAATTAGAACAACATCCCACGTGATATTGCGTCCTTGATAAACCACAACGTACAAATGTTCAATAGTCCACTTAATATCGCTTAATATTTTTGTTCGGATCCGCATGTGTGCAAACTTGTATGATCCTCTTTTGTACGAAGTATAATTTATTATCTGCTAGATCGATGCGCCTATTATTGGCCATACATCTGCTTGACTTTAACCACCCCTATGTGCACTTTAACCCCCACCCCATATAATGCTCGTCAAGGGTCATTAGGGCGTGTTGAAAAACAAAAGCATGTCCCAGCATGTAAACTCTTTTGTGCACGATGCTCACGGAAGAACTGCTTCCAATGTGCGCAGCGGCGGCGGCGGCGGCGCTTAGCCCCGAGTTGGACCTGATCGAGGCACTGGGCAACGGCAGCTACGCGGGCCTGGAGCCAGCCAGGGGCATGCACCGCTGGAGCCCTGCCCTGCGTTTGTCATCCTCCAGGAGCAGGCAGGTGGCGCTGCCCGCCGAGGTGGCCCGGCACGCTGCGCGCCTGCTGCACTCCTCCGATGTCACCCTCATGGCCTCCGTGCGACAGGAGCCTCGCAACGTGGGCACCCTGCTGTCGCTGTGTCGCGACGGCAGCGGCTTTGTCGAGCTGCAGAGCAGTGGTCGCCGGGACGAGCTGCGCCTCCACTATGTGGCCGGGGGTGGACGGCAGATGGTCGAGACGTTTCCCTACCGTCTGGCTGACGGGGCATGGCACCACGTCGCCATCGCCATCAGCGGGCCCAGGTGCGGCCATTTTACAAACATCTTCATGCAGGGGTACAACAGCTGCGCCGTTTGAACCACTGTGCGCCACTCTTTTACTAGCGCCGTACTGCGCCGCAGAACTCGGATTAAGTCGCAAGGTGCGGCGGCTGTCAAGCCCCGTGCCCGAAATGTGATTGAAACATCGTGTTTTTAGTGTCATCGGAACTGTTACAGCTTCGGTTTCGTCAAGGCTGTGGTCTAACGTTAGAACATAAGCTGCGAACGCCGATTCCGAGGGCGTGGTCGATGGCGCGCGTGTTATCACGGCAGTTTTCTTATCAGCGCGAATGGCTCGTAAACCCTTCCAAGGGCTGCGCTCTCAGCGCGAAGTGACTGTGCGAAAAGAGCATCTATCTCTGGCGCGGCGTTTTGTAGAGTTGCGTGATATCGGACCCAAAAGAGTTAGCTTCGAGCCTCACTTCGAATAACATTCTAATTTGACGCTATCGCATTCGTTGCTTCACTCTTGCGGTGAAACTTCTTAATAACTTGATGACAACGTTCAGAAGCAATAAAAGAATGATGGTAAGTGATCCAAAGAAGGGGGTGATATGCGGTTCCCGGAACAGCCTAGCAAATACAGGTGCTCGGAAATGCTCATCGAACGCTCGCGCTTGTTCTCGTTCATTTCGCCGCTGTAATCGAAAAGCGCTTATTGGCTCTGCTGTTGACGGCCGCGCGTTCAGGTTAAAGATAGTTTACAAAGTAACACTGGCAGCTGTCTCCTTTGAATCCAATCTCGCGTAAGTACAAAATGCTGGTCTTAAAGAATACGGCTGTGTCAGGGAGAGCCACTCTTGTCGCACAGTCTCTCCGCGATGCAAACGGAATGGCTACCTGGCTAGCCTGCGCGCCAGCGACCGCGCCCTTGGATCCAAAGGTCAAACTTGCGCGGCCGCTGCATAAAAAAAAAGGGAGTTTCTGTAGCGGTCGCGACACCTCAAACCTCACCCCCCCCCCCCCTCCTTTCGAGTCTTTTCCTGCTCGTTTCAGACGGGTGAGGTGTTTCCTCTCTGCTTCTACAGCAGATTGGGCTTTATGTTACGGCATGCGCCCCCCTGAGCGATCGGAAATGGGCCCGCCGCTCTGTTTGATCTTTGTATCAGCAGCATTAGTTGACCCCGCTTCCCCACATTTACCCATTCACCCTCATGTAAAAAATTTGATACGCAAGTAAATATTATAAATTTGAATTTTTATGGGACATAACGGTGACGGCGAAAGCGTGTCGGGAGTATTCATATAATTTCTATAGCAATAGTGCTATTCCATTATTTAGGGTTTAATAAATGCAGCATTGGAGAAGTGTAGCTTAACAACTGCTTTGAAATGGGGCTACATCTGCTCAGAACATTCTCTGAGTGCTCCAAACTTGCTCAAAAAGATCTTTCCGGCTGCTCCAAGCCTGCTATTCCATTATTTAGGGTTTAATAAATTCAGCATTGGAGAAGTGTAGCTTAACAACTGCTTTGAAATGGGGCTACATCTGCTCAGAACATTCTCTGAGTGCTCCAAACTTGCTCAAAAAGATCTTTCCGGCTGCTCCGAGCCTGCTACAGAGGGCATATTTGCCTGCTCCCGGGGCTGCTGTAAAAGCCATGTACCATGTTCTCGCTCAATATCAAGGCATACTTTTGTTAGACATCCTGGTAATTGTTAATGGTATCCATATACTTGTTGTGTAGTCAGGTATGTCTTTTTATGAAGTTTGGCACTTGTCAGATATACAGATATTTCTGAAAAGTGTACAGCACTTCTCACAGGTATCCAGGTACTGTTAAGCCTACGTTCTTGAAAAATCAGAAATGTAGTTCAGGTGTTATTTGGCGCCTACTGGGCTGTTCGGCCTCTACACACATCACGACTTTTTATAGCCAAAACGTGTTTCCAGTAGGTATTCAGGTACCTTGGTTATGTTGACAACTCTTTAAAACATTGTGTCTATGAACATCCTGTGCATGTTATTCCTGAGTATCGAAGAATCGACTTCAAAATTTCAAGTTCAGAAAGCGTTTTCTAACTGCAGTGGTAGCACAGTGGCTGAAGTGTTGTGTTGGTAAGCTTGACAATGCAGATTATATTCTTGGCCGCAGTGGCGAATTTCAAGAGCACTTCTCCTCAAGTGCATGTTAAGGAGCTTCAGGCTCTAAAAATTTGTTTGTAGACATCCACCACAGCACACCTTATTATTTATCACTAATTTGGCATGTAAACCCCAAAACTTCATTGGTGTTTTAATACAAAGTTGTCAGTTGCAGTGCAGTCGTGTGGTGCAGCTCTGTACAAAGTTGCTTAGGCAAATTATTAAATGATGTAGCTCATTCAAGCTGCAAGGTGTTCATAGTCCTTTCTCCTAATGCAGTGTGCAGCTATTCGTGGACTGCAGCCGTGTGTACTCGCGCCTGCTTCGACAGCCCCCGAAGACCATCTCGGAGGAGGACGAGCAGAGTGGGAAGCCGTGGCAGCTGTGGCTGGGCCAACGCAATGCGCGCCACTTCCACTTCCGCGGGGAGCTCCAGGACGTGCGAATTGTGGCACAGCCGCAGGCCGTGCTGCTCCAGTGTCCTCAACTGGACGCTCAGTGCCCAACCTGCGGACAGTTTCAAGAGCTTCACGAGGCTGTTGCTCGCCTCGAGGGATACGTCAGCAAGCTCACGCAGCGGGTGAGTTTAGTTGCTGGCGTGCTTTGCTTCGATCTATTCCTAGTTGAAGAAAATATGTTCCTGGAAGTCTTCTATCCTCCTTTTTTGCAGGGTATGACCATTTATCTGAAAAGTAATTTGTCTCCGACATAAGCCATTGCTGTAGGCTTTAACCAGAAGTGTTGACTTGAAGTAGCCATTTTTACCAATCGGAAAGAAGCTATAGCAACCTTGCTGGTTAGTCGCAGCTAAGTGGACAGCAAATCTGACAGTACGGAGCAGCTACCCAAAAGTTGCATGACAGACCAAAAGTGTCGTAACTAGGCTTGTCCAAATAGTAAATTTTAGGTTAATAGCAATTTGGTCGAATAATTTCAAATATATTTCAAATAGATTCACATATTATATACAAAATTCAGCATATATATCATGACCACACTACACGGCACAATATTTTTCAAGATTGAAACAAGGCTCACGTAAATGTAATTTTTTTTGGGGGTAAATAGAACTGGAGACCAGCCAACTTTGAACAGGTGCAGGGCTTGACTTTCAGTAGAATGCAAGGGAAAGCTTGTACTATACTTAAAGCATATAATTTGATATAACAGGCTTTTAAGTTTAAAAAATTATGAGTCGGTGTTATGGTGATATGCTCGCTTAACCTTGAAGTGAAGTGAAGTTTCACGGCAGTGCAGATTTTTTATTGATAGGCATGTTTACAGTATAGCACTCCTACACTGCAGCGAAACCACCTTTACAGGAATTTTACATGCGGTTTAATATTTATTGGTCACAACGGCACCAAATGGACGTTGTTCAATATGTGGAAAAGATACCGCGAGCGCAACAAGTGTGTGACAATCTATGTGGTGGAGAGCTCCATTGCCTCACAATGAGACTGCCACTCCGAAAGCATATCGAAACCTTGACAATCGTGGAGCAGACAGGGCTTGATAAATCTGCTTGTCTGTTTACAAATGCTGCGCTGAATTTAAAACCTTTCTGTATGTGGTAGCAACAGTCATAATATCAGAAGTGGCAACAAATTTTATTCAAATGAAATCAGTTATGGTAATTTACTTTCGTAGGATCGGCTAAAAAGAGGAAATCCTTGGCATGTCCATACTATAGTGCAAATAAAGCAGTTACATGATACAACAAAAAGCTTTGCTCTTATTTGCCTTAGATATGTTGGGATATTCTATATCCCGCACATTTCGTCATAAGGGCGTTCAACTTTACTAATACTAAATAAAAGGTTCCTAGGATAATGTGTAACATGCTTGCCATGCCTTTGTTTTATTTGTCCAGTCTCTATGCTGGTTGCACCAAACCATGAAGAACCATTGCTCCATTACAATTTGGGGTGGCATTGATGACTTGCGAAAAAATACTGTCATCACATAGACTGCTGTACTGACTTTTCCATTGAATTGGCTGTCTCCAAATCTCCGGATAGTTGCAGTGCTGAAAAAAGTCGGCAGAATAGCGGACATAGTGGACAACATAAACAACAAGCTTACCCAAAGAACCACTCCTGGTGTCTTCAAATGTTCGCCTGCAACACAGGGTCCACGCATGGGTGACTGTCAGAAATGTGGAACCGCATCTGGTTGTGCAGCTGGCAAGGTTCTCTTAGCTTTGTGTGTAAAAACATAGGTCCCTTGTATTCCCTCATCTGCTGCTGCCATCGCCAGATGAGAGAGCGAGAGAGAGAGGAGACACAAACCACCTACACTTGAGAGTGGTTCCCCAGGCCCCCTCTATGGCCATTGCTGGCGTTACTGTTTGTATTAATTATATTAGGTTTTCTTGTTCATAGATGAATCCATAGTCTTTTTATGTGCAAAAAAAAAAATTCTACTTGAGGATACTGCTTTCTATTGCTTTTTTTAAATTTTGATTACTTGCGAGTTAATATCAATGTCATGGCTTTGAGATAGGCAGCTCAATCACAACCTACCTTACCTTTGTTTTCGCATCTATATAACAAACCCACTTTTTAGACCAATGTTTTGGGTTCCCCCCCCATGTGACGCTTGCTGTGTGTGATAGCTTGCTTGTGTTCTCGCATATGTGGTGCCAGCTAGCGGAGGCTGAGCAGAGGATCGCGTCTGTGGAAGAGTGCGAATGCCAGCGCAACTGCCATGTCAACGACACCGTGCGGCCGGACGGCGCGGTATGGGAGCAGGACTGTGATATCTGCACATGCACAAGGGGCAAGGTCGAGTGCCATCCCATCAGCTGCCCCGCACCACCCTGCAAGCACCCAGTGCTGCAACCGGGCAAATGCTGCCCCACTTGCCTCAGTGAGTACATGATACAGCAAACAGTACCCCCCACAGCAGACTGTCTAGGAACATGAACGTCGCTCACTTCCCATGCTCTTCTCTCGCAGAGCGCTGTTTCCTGAAACAGGTTCTCTATGACCACGGGGAGCAAGTTACACAAAAGTGTGTCCAGTGCAACTGCAGTGTGAGTATACGCTGCTGTCTGCTAACTTCGAAACACAAAAGGGCAATTGATTGTCAGTTAAGTGGCTTTTCTCAACAACTGTAAGTGCCAGCTATATCAAGTACACCTTGTTAATGACTGATATTCACTGTTATGCATGTAACAGACCGTGCCTGATCAAATTCAGCGATAGTCACTTGCTGCAATATTAGACAAAGTGAATATATAGCTTATGTTATGGCACCATATAATGGCATAATATTCTGCTTCCATTCACACAGGACGGCCAGATGACGTGCCGACGCATTGACCAGAAGACATGCCCAATGCTCACGTGCCCGGAGTCTCAGCGTTTCAGCGTGCCCGGCGAGTGTTGCATGTTCTGCCCGGGCGTTGACTACTGTGCCCGGGGCCACGACTGCCACCAGCACGCCTCGTGCGTCAACCTACAGACCAGGTATGCCTGCCAGTGCCGGCCGGGCTACGCCGGCAGTGGTCGTGTCTGCGAGGACGTTGACGAATGCCTCAAGGAAGGCGGCTTTGATGGTCACCACTGCCAGGCGTCCAGCACCCGCTGCGCCAACACCCCAGGCAGCTACCGCTGCGACTGCCTGCCTGGATTTTCTCGGCTGGATGCCTATAGCTGCGTCGAGGTAGACGAGTGCGCTGCAGGCCAGCACGATTGCCATCGGCTGGCGCAGTGTGTCAACACACCAGGCAGCTACGAGTGCCGCTGCCCCGCAGGTTTCCGGGGTGACGGACGGCGACTGTGCGAACCAGTGTGCTCACGTGGCTGCCTAAATGGGGGCCGCTGTGCGGCTCCAGAGACATGCGCGTGTCGGCGTGGTTTTGTGGGCGCCCGCTGCGAGCGGGATTTGGACGAGTGTGCCGAGGGCGTGCACGGGTGTGACGAGGAGCGCTCTCGGTGCGTGAACATGCCTGGCTGGTTCTACTGCGAGTGTCGTGAGGGCTACGCACCCACGGCCACCGATGGGTCGTGCGAGGACGTTGATGAGTGTGCTCTGGCCACACATACGTGCCACAGCACTGCCACGTGCGTCAACGAGCGGGGCTCCTTCTCATGTGTGTGTGCTGACAATTCTAGCTGCTCGCTCAAGTGCGACCACCGGGGCGTCGAGCGCACCGACGGTGAGCGCTGGCCGGGGCCGGAGCCCTGCACGCACTGTGTGTGCCGTGCGGGTGTAGCGCGGTGCGACAAAATGCCCTGCCGGTGCGATTCCCCCCGGGTAGACCTTCGCTGCTGCCCCGAGTGCGACCGGGCCGGCTCGTGTGAGCACCCGGACGAGCCCGGCATACGGCTTGCCAGTGGCCAGCGTTGGCTGCACAACTGCCAACAGTGCGAGTGCCTACGTGGTGAGCTGGACTGCTGGCCCGTTGAGTGTCCACCACTGCATTGTGCCGCCCACTCACTGCGGCCAGGAGAGTGCTGCCCGCGTTGCGACCAGGAGGATGATGACCATGAGGAGTGCGCCGGGGCTGCAAACTCAAGCGGGCACCGAGGCTGCATGCACATGGGCCGCACATATCGTGCTGGCGAGATCGTGCCGCTGGACCCCTGCGCCAGCTGCAAGTGCGCGGTGAGCCCCCTTGCTCAGGGCTGCTCTGTCTCACAGGCGGGTCGTCCGGGGCGGAGGACTGCCACATGAGAGGATTCTATGGGCATGCCGATTGCTGCTGTCAATTTATAGGCCTACAAGCTAATGCGCATGTTTAGTTCCTCCTGCTGGTGTAACATGCTATCTGCTTACAGGACATTACGGGGAAGCCACGCAACACTGTTGTCGGCAGCTCCTAAAACAACCTCGTGGACATGCTAAAAACCGTGCCTGACTTTGTAGTTGGCTTTTTCTCTAACACTTTCATAGCACGTTGATTATGCTGGTAGAATTTCAATGCGCCCTGCCTCCGCCCTGGTATGGCTCGCCACATAGGATTTGTGTAACTTCTGGGTTCACATTCCTGGAATTCCTGGAAGCATGGGAGCCGTTTCTCAGTCCATTGTGTCAGTCACCACTGTTTAGTGGTACCTGTTAATGCAATACTTCTTGCTGCGCTTGAGACTTTCTTGGTCTGATGTCACGGCTCCGAGCATTCCAGGCCCATTGTGCGCATCTGCTGCGTGACCGCTGTGTCTCGCTTAACCTTGCATGCTGCTGGTGTTTGCCGCCTCTTCTAACCCCTTCTCCCCTCGCAGGTTCCCGAGCTCTTGGTGAGCAATGTGGGCTTTAGTTCGCTCCGGTAATAACCCTCCCCACTCTCTCTGTTGCATGCTGTTACTAACCGCAGCGCGGGCCACCCTGAGCAGAGGTATCTAACAGCTCCCACCTCGATTCTCGACATGCAGGATGGCCACCTCTGCTGCCTGTACTCTGCTGACTGCCTTGGTCGCGATGGCCCCAGCGTTTCCCAGCTGAGGCTGCCCGGCCGCCCACCGACGCACCACGTTCCCTGATGTACAGCGTTAATTTATTAACTCTTTCTTGAGCGTGTAACTTATTGATCCCCCTCCCTCTAAAAAAACTCGCACAACCACAAAACACTCTCTATGCCCGGGAGGCGCACACATTCCACCGGATCTCAGCGACATTCCTCGCGCGCGCCTGGCATTGTTAGCAACGAAGCCAAAGAACTGTTGAAATCACGCGCAAGAGATAGGTCTATTATATTATACATATTATATATAAGAATATATATATTATAAATATATATATATATATATACTATTATGAAAGGTATGTGCACACACTCGACGTGTGTGTCGGTGAGAGAGATAACAGAGCGCATATAATAATGTGCGATGCAATGTACATTCTACTCCTCCGGGTTTTCGAACCCGCGAGAGTTAAGCGAGGCCTTAGCGTGACCGCAGGCACGTTGCATGTGTTTTCGTTTGTGTGTGCGTGTGCATGTACGCGTGTGTGTAAATAGGTTTTCTAGTCTCGCCGTCGACAGCAACACGACACAACCCTCCCCTCGGACGAGAGAAACCTGCCAGCGAATACCTCAGAGCCGATGACGGCGTGAGAGAAATCCCTCGCCTATCCACACGGCACCCCTGCCCCGCCCCTCTAGGTGCTTTTTGTACACACAAACTTCGTTTTTATAATATACATACTATACACATATAGGCGTGTGCTCCGCCTCTTTGCTGTTTTTTTTAGTTAATATTAAATGGCACCCGATATGATGGGGATCTGCAATAGTGTCTGTTTGCTGGCACTGACACACTGTTCCGGCAGCCCCAATCTGGGTATGCAGAACCTTACACAGCAGGCTGTAACACACACACAAACCAACGCCCTGTTTCGTTCGTTTTTTTTTTTCCTAGTCGTTTTTTTTTCTCGCCTCACCCCGTCCTTTCCTTTTTATTTAAATAAAACCCTGGTTGAACGCCACTGTGATAGTTTGTGTCCACTGCTGACCTTGGCTTATGTCTCCTGGTTGCATATGTCATATTCTGTGGCTAGTAGGAAAAGAATGCTGTAGCTGAAACCACCTCTCTACCTTCATCGCTCAGTGCATAAAGTCTTGCTTAGTGTGATTGCTCATAAGTGTTTTAGGGCCAGTTTCCCAAGCACTTGGGGCTCCAATGTCATTGGTACATGCAAGGTTGTGCATGCAAGCTGACATGCATCATAGGTGTGCATTCCCAAATGCAAGTCTCACAAGTGTCCTCTGCACTCGTAGGGCCATAGGAGCTCGTCACATTTAGACAATATTTGTTTGTTTGAAAATATTAGACCAAGCATAGAGGATTGTGAAATTGTTTTCATTGACTATACATAAGTAATATGAGAAAGATGTCTACCGAGAGGAGCAAGAGTGACAATTTCACATGAAAAAGTTGCGACATGTACAGGACACATTAATGGTATGCTGGTTAAGGCATCTGCTGTAGAGGCTAACCAGATACACACAAAGCAACTATTGTTATCAATTCTTTATTTGACTGCTGGGGCTGTAATCTGAAATTATCGCACAAAGCAACAATCTCAAAAGTATGTTCTCTGGTGTGTGCACATTTGCTATTGAACTGGTAAAGTGTAGGCACCATTTAGTATTTCTGTCGAGATGACACCACTCTACGGTGCTCCATAGGCGGTAGCTTTTAGTATTCACTTTTTGGCGAATTGGGAGGCATTTTTTCGCTCTGAAGTTTTCAGCGAGCATTGCCTCAGTGCATTTTCAGTACTCGTTTTTCGGCAGCGGAGTTTTTTTTTTTGTGTGTGTGTGTGCATGTTCCAGGAAAGATGAACATTTATCGCGCGCCAGCAGCATGCCGAGATGTTTGCGCGATGTTGCTTTGGTGGTGCACTACAGCTTAACTCTGAATACGCAGAGTCAAACTGTCAATGGAAATACATTTCACACAAAGTGAAACTATTTATTAAATATTACTGCAGTGTTCGCTAAGCAATTGCACAAACCTTTTTTAAAGCATTCTCAACAAGTTTAATCTCATATAGTCGCAGCCAAGCCTGGTCACAGCATAGGCGCCAGCGTACGCTTGAAAGCTGCACACACACTCACTGCTGTGCACTTGTACAGCACAGTCGCTTCTGTGTTGTCACTCATTCATAGTGACTTGTGAGATGAACTATCGACACTTTTGCCATTTCCTCTCATAACAACACTGGCATGACTGAAAAAAAGTCTTTGCGAAACGTTGCAGGATGTTGCTACAAGCTCCGCTATTAGTCTCTCTGCAATGGATTTAGTTTATAAGTGAACAAGCTAAAGGATTTAATTTGGAGCATTGTGGTCAATGTCTTTTCCAGTCTATTATTTTGTGCCTTAGCAGTAGCACTTGGGCTGCCTGAACTGGCCAGTCTCAATTTCGCTCGTTTTTCAAGAAAGTGGGGCAGCTGCGCACTGCAAGTGCAAAGCCTAAACAGCGTAGCGGGTCCGCCTTGTTGGAACAGTGGCTACAGTGCTCGGCTGCCGTATCAAAGGTCATGGGTTCGTTCCCTGCCGCGGCGGTCGCATTTTGATGGGGGCGATATGGTTGACGCCCATGTGTTGTGCGATGTCAGGCCACGTTAAAAACCCAAAGTGGTCGAAATTGCTGGAGCACTCCATTGCTGAGCTTGGCAAGCTATATTTCCGTCCACTCAAATTTTTTCACATTAACTACAGAATAGAAAGTACAAATAACATCCCTTATACGTTTCTTGGCTCTTTTTTTTCCTGTTCTCATGCTGTCTAACAGGGAAATTAACGACGTTTATTAAATGAAAAGGTTTGAGCTCCTGCCAGATATCAAGACATGGGCGTTGGCAGGGTGGTTCCTCTCGGCCCTCCTCAGGCCATAAAAGCCAGTTTTTGAGCGTGAGGAAACGCTACCGATCCTGAGAACGCGCGAGCCGAGCATTATAACGCAGCACGCGGCCTGTAACTTAAACTTGATCATCGGTCACCTAGAAAACGCTCCCTCTTCTCTCTCTCTACAAAGTGTGCCCATACCCAAAGTCCCCGACCGGCAGGTGGCTGTGATGGTGTTTGTCATCACGTGATTTGTCCCCCGATTCAGCATTATCGGCAAGGTGGCGCAGTGAGCGCGCGGCGGCTTTCATCTGTCACGCGTACTTTGGCCCGCGTGGAGAATAGGGGGGTGTACGCTCGATCGAGCGCCCTTATCTTTCAGTGGGGAGAATCGTACGTTTTGGCTAGCCTTTGAGTTCCGTCGCAACGATTCTGTTGTAGTTACAGGGCGCACAAAGGTCACTGCAATCGTTGCATAGCCTCCGTTTGCGAAATGTGCGCCCTTTTCAGACACAGTGAGAACAGCTGAGACGCTTATTCGCATGCATCTGTACCTGTGAGTACGTTTCGATCGTGCGTTCTTTGTGCTCGAGAAACGCGGGTTACGTTTCGATCTGCTTGCCATTCTGCGCGTGGCCTTCCAATTTGTTGCTACCGCCTTTATCGATTCGCCTTTGCGGTAAAGCTGTGACATTTTGTTGAGGTAGCGCGCTCTCCCGTTTTGTCCGCCACCCGAAGGAGGGCGCTACCGCGGCATCGTGTGGCGTTACGTCACACGACACCACGCCAGAATTTGTGACGTCATGATGGAGGCACGAAATAATGCGATATGTGATTACGTCACGTGACGACAGTCATTTGCATCAATCGTCCCGGACGGTCGCCGCCGATGGTCAAATTTTTCGTTCGATGAGGGTATCGAGGGCCTTCGCCTTAATCTCTGCATTGTCGGCCCTTTTTGCGTGGCCTCTGTCCGCAAAAGAAGCCAGTCTTCAGTCTTAACGCGAATCCCCCCACCTTGCTTCCTTTTTTTTTCGTTTTCCAAGGGGGTTGAATATGTAAAAATGCAGTGTGGTAATAGCGGCCGACGAGTCATTTACAGGCACACTATCGGATCATCTCGAACGTGTGTATACCTGGCATTCGTATTTTCGTCAGGTTACCAAGGGGTGAACGATCCGTGACGCCTTATAGGTAAACGTATTAAAAACAAGTTAGACAACCTGCAGTCTAATTATGCCGTTAATTATTACGCAAGACCATGTGACACAATTATCAGAAGCCAATAACGACGCTCTATAGAACTGCCCCGCAAGCCATCGACCACGTTATGATTACGCGCCATTGGGCTATGAAGCGATTGAACATTGCCTGCCCTTTTATTATTCAAGGGGTAAGATACCGTTCCATCGTTCTAGCAATACTGTCGCTTCTAACGATGTACGCAACAGCATTACATCAATAGGTGACAGCCGCACGGATGGCTTTAGCCGCTGCGGAACGGCATCCATATCGAGCCCTACGCCGACAGTGATGGCGGTATAGCAAAGGCAAACTTTGCACAACCTTGTGGTTGTCCAGCTGGAATTTTTCTCCCCGCTCAAAACAAAAAAAAAAAATACTCCTTCCGAATGTTATACGAGAAAAGCATAGGCCGTGCGATCGAATCCCGGTTGCATTTTCGATGTAGACGAACACGATATTGGCCCGTGTGCTATATTTCGGTGCACGTCAAAGAAACCCAGGCTGTCGAAATTTCCGGAGTCCTCCATGGTCTTGACCCTAAAAAGGCTTTCGATAATGCTAACCATACAATTATATTGGAAAACATTGAAAGCTAATGTATAACTACGTTAAGAGCTTCCTGTCAGACAGAAAGGCAGTCATCTCCGTCGGAGGACTCCATATCACCTGAGATCGACATCGGTGGCGCAGGCACGCTGCAAGGCTCTGTCCTATCTCCGATGCTCTTCAATCTAAATCAAATTGAATCTCTACAACATTCAATCTACGCGGATGTTATTACTATCTGGGTTTGTGATGGGAGCAACGGCTCTATAGAACGACTGCAGACCACAATAAACACAGTAGAGGAACACCTGATAGAAATAGGTCTCACGTGCTCCGCAGACAAGGCGGAGCTGCTTCTGTACCGCCCCACGCTTAGGGGTAGGCCTCCCACTGAATACGACAGAAACGAGGCTTATGAAGAAATTAAGATACACACAGGAAACGGGCAAGGTATTCCTATAGTCAACCAACTCAAGTTACTGGGCCTTGTAATCGAGAACAGAGGTACAAATGGGGAAACCATTAAAAAAATAGATGCGAAAGTAACAAACACCATAAAATAAAATAAAACGAATTACTAGCAAGCACCAGGATATGAAAGAAGAAAGTATCATACGGCTGATACGATCTTTTGTGATCAGTCAGATCACATACATATCTGCATTCCATAATTGGTTTGCAGCAGAAAAGACCAAAGTTAACAACCTAATAAAAAATGTGTACAAACTAGCGCTAGGGATTTCCATCAGTACGCGCACAGACCTTTTTTTTTTTTTTTTATAAAACTAGGACTCCACAACACACTGGAGGAACTCATAGAAGCACAACAAATGTATCAGGTGGAACGACTAACAAAAAGCTTTACTGGACGGAATACACTACGCAAACTAGAAATGAATTACCACAACCAAAACGGAGAAAATAGGACGATCACGAGAGAAATTCGTGAGAAACTTCTGGTACCTAATATACCCAAGAACATGCATCCATGTCACAACAAAGGTAGACGCACGAGTAGAGCAGAAAAAAATGATTCAGAGCTACGGGCCAGACGACGGAGCCGCATAATACCCAAACAGAAATAACTGCGTCGGAGAAGAAGAATTTTCCGAGACAGCAGAGGAAGTAGCCATTGCACTAGCACTGGTCTCCACGAATGTGCAATACATTATTAGTGCCCCGCCACGGTGGTCTAGTGGCTAAGGTACTCGGCTGCTGACCCGCAGGTCGTGGGTTCGAATCCCGGCTGTGGCGGCTGCATTTCCGATGGAGGCGGAAATGTTGGAGGCCCGTGTACTCAGATTTGGGTGCACGTTAAAGAACCCCAGGTGGTCAAAATTTCCGGAGC